ATGTGGAAGCAGTTATCATACACAGGGCCGTAAGGGTCGGTGCAACATATTCCAGAAGCATTGTTGTTGCCTTAATGTGGAAGCAGTTATCATATACAGGGCCGTAAGGATCAGTGCAACATATTCCATAAGCATTGTTGTTGCCTTAATGTGGAAGCAGTTATCATATACAGGGTCGTAAGGGTCGGTGCAACACGTTCCATAACCATTGTTGTTGCCTTAATGTGGAAGCAGTTATCATATACAGGGCCGTAAGGATCGGTGCAACATATTGCAGAAGCATTGTTGTTGCCTTAATGTGGAAGCAGTTATCATATACAGGGTCGTAAGGGTCGGTGCAACACGTTCCATAACCATTGTTGTTGCCTTAATGTGGAAGCAGTTATCATATACAGGGCCGTAAGGATCAGTGCAACATATTGCAGAAGCATTGTTGTTGCCTTAATGTGGAAGCAGTTATGATAGACAGGGCCGTAAGGAACGGTGCAACACGTTCTATGAGTTTTGTTGTTGATGTTATAAATCTAACCAGTTATCATATAAACATAAAGTCATAAAAACAATGCAACATTTTTCATATTTGCTATTGTCTGAATAACCATAGTTTCTGTGAGAGAAGGGGTCGTGGGCATTTGAGAAGCATCTTACACTAAGGTCTTGTTGTCATGGGAACGATTACTCACATGCAATACCAATGTAATAACAAACGTGATCTGTGAGTGCACGCATGAGGGATCATCACCAATGGATTAAGAACTGCATGAACCTTTACTGTCAGTAAGGCATGGCATCATAAGCAGTATATAATAAGCAGTATGTTATCACGAGCAATAATGCAGCATGGCAGTTTGTGTCAATATGACATGTTATCATGAGCAATAATGCAGCATGGCAACTGTCATCAATATGACATGTTATCATGAGAAATAATACACCATGGCAGTTTGTGTCAATATGACATGTTATCATGAGCAATAATACACCATGGCAGTTTGTGTCAATATGACATGTTATCATGAGCAATAATGCACCATGGCAGTTTGTGTCAATATGATATGTTATCATGAGCAATAATGCACCATGGCAGTTTGTATGATCAATAATGCACCATGACATGTTGTGTTATGAGCAATAATGCACCATAGCACTTTGTGTCAATATGACATGTTGTGAACAATAATGAGCCATGGAGGTTTGTATCAATATGACATGTTATGAGCACTAATGCACCATGGCACTTTGTGTCAATATGACATGTTATGGGCAATAATGCACCATGGCACTTTGTGTCAATATGACATATATGAACCATGGAAGTTTGCGTCAATATGACATGTTATCATGAGCAATAAGGCATCATGGCAGTTTGCGTTAGTATGACATGTTATCATGAGCAATAAGGCAGCATGGCAACTGGCATCAATATGAAATGCTATCATGAGAAATAATACAACGTGGCAGTTTGCGTCAGTATGGCATGTTATCATGAGCAGTAATGCAGCATGGCAACTGGCATCGATATGACAATAATGAGCAAAAGTTAAACATGGTATTTTGCGCCAGTATGACATGCTATCATGAGCAATAATACAATATGGCAGTTTGCGTCAGTATGACATGTTATCATGAGCAAAAATACAACCTGGTATTTTGTCATCATGGTCTATTTTCATAAGCAGTGATGCAGCATTTCCGTCGGTGTCAGTTTGGCATGTTACCAAAAGCAGTAATGGAGCATGGATGTTTGTGTGGATATGTCATGTTGTCAGAAGCAGTAACGCAATAAGGCAGTTTGTGTCAGTTTGGTGTGTTGTCGCAAGCACTGTGGCAGGGGTGATGTTTTCATAAATAACGTCAAAAAGAAGCAAGACCTTACAAGTTGGAGCTGCACATCAGCATATACATCCCACTATTGTGTTCCTATCCTGATATAGTGTATATTTCATTGCCCTGTGACAAGCATATAGTTTGTGTCTGATCGACACAAAGGTACCCCAATGGAAGATAGCACTGGTAACGATTTCCACACTAACAATCAACATTGTGCCCCACCGCATCTAACCGTCTCGGATCTTCACCAAACATTGTTTCAAGGGGCTATCTTGAATAAATTGATACAGCCTTCAAAACTTATTTTAACCCTCCGTCCGTCCCTTGACCATCCCGAGCCGATGACGTCGATTAAATAAACCTAATGAGAATCGAATGGGTCGTATTTGCTTGGCGTTTGATCTTTCCATATTAAACAATGTAGTATGAATTACTATTTTACTAAAGTTAAAAATATCGAAGTCCGTTCAAATAATTCCGCTTATATAGCCAGGCATGGTGACTCTTCTGGCGGTACATGAAGAATGACAATTCAGAGGTAAAATGCAGTTTGGAAACAATGATCAATGTTTCAATCGATACAGAAGCATTGATCCTCCAACGAATCATAATAACATTATTTGACAAACCAATACTGAGTTCCTCGGCCAATTCAAGCATATAGGTCAGAAAGCTTGACTAAGACTGATGTGTAAATGGGCATCAGATGTCCAATATGGCGGCTCAGTCCTAATGGTTGACCGATGTCCCATGTGCCCAGGCTGTATTTCTTCATAACACATAGTACTATTAAAAGTGGTTTGTCTGTTCCAGGCCCGACCACAACGTGTAGTTCACTGCAATACAGTACTAGCGATACTGTGGCGAAGAGTATGATGAAAGTGCTTGATATGGTAGATATCCTTATGTGTTCATATTATAAGAATTTATAGCCTTAAGCAACCTCATCGAAAAGATTGGTGACATCATAGGCATGTAAATCATGCATTTGCTAGTCTCGCATAAAGTCTGTGTTCCATTCCGAATATCAGAGGCCTATCATGTATGTCGTGGACCATACTCACATACTCATTCAGTGACATCATCATCTCGATAAAGCTATTAATCTACTCGAAGGGAATTCATGACCCTGAATACCAATTATATTCATGCACTCCAAAGACACGATTATCAGAAGTTTGTCGTCCTTAAATCTCCCAACCAACCTATAACAGAAGCTGTACACTGAAACACACAATAATGTGAAGTTTGCCATTAATCATTAACCCTAGGACAACCAACTTGTACTGCGCGACCAGCTCGCACCACATGGAACGGGTCAGTGCTTTGAACAAATTCCACCTGTGTGCACTAGAAGTATATCTTTCTAATCGAAATTGTCCACAAAACGTCACCAAAAGCGCGACCAGCAGAACAGTGTTGAATTACAAATGGCATATAAAATCAATACTTCTATTGCCATTACTAACATATGTGGCGTCTAATATCACAGATGTAACAAGACTTTAAAGCAGTGCCTGACAAAATATTTATGACATCTTTGTAACATGAACGCCCATTTTAGGATACAAAATACTGGTGCATTGTGCCTGATGTCTTCGACACCGAGATCCTTGATGTGGAACCCAAGATCCTCGAATGTTTTCAGAATCCAGAAATCCTGCCAAAACCTGCCTGAACCTTGTCTCTTGGTGTGTACTTTCACATGCATCACACTACCATATGTTATTAATGATGAAGCAACTTAATTAACCATACAAAATATGCTCCATTTGAAAATACCGTACGAATGACGTATGTTTGGCATGTAAGCGCCCAGAGCATCGATGTTGTAACCGGCTTGGTGTTTACAACAAATTGTCGTCTGCTGTAGTCTGCCTCGGGATCAACAACAGATTTTCCACCTACATACATGTCTAACAGAACACGACATGTAGCTGATTTCAGACCAATAATATGGAAGGGAACACCTGCTATCTCGTTTATATCCTTACACATGACATCATCATTTGTGCACTGGGTTTATCGAATCGGAACCAGTAACAGCGGTACACGGAATAATATGGACTCTTTGAAACACCACGTTGTAGACGGAATTATTCAATGAAAAATAATCACATTACCTTGCTGAATATCGTTATCCGGTATATGCGTAACCTGTCGTCTGCATCTATTGCCTCCTGTTTGTGTCGTCTGCCAACATGGAGGCCATGTTTTGACAGCTACTGGGAAAACGAACCTGATCTAAATTCCTTTAGTCCCACATCAGCAGTTGAAATCAATAGAAGGGTCTCGCGTCCTCATACACTGAATCGACTGCTGAAACTGCACAATCGCCATCAATCTGACCCGGCACAGTCACGGAGCGACAGACAGATGGACAAACAAGTTAAGCACATCCATGCTTCGCCATCGACAAGAGAAGATGTCTGTAGCCAAATTGACACAAATTCTGCTTCCATTCCTTCACAAGTTCAAGGATGTTCGGAAGGACCACACGAAAGAGTTTAATTTATGCACCATCTATGGAACATGTTACTACCAATACTGGGATACCTTTGCTTCAGAAGGTCACTCCATACAAGACCAATATTTATGCATCAATAAAAACATTTAGCCCCGATCTGCAACATCCCCTTACTAGAAAAGAAGCAATCTACGTCTGAAATATAAATTTTAATTTATGCACGCATAGAGGGTTTAGACATAGGGAAAGTGTAGAATGGGGTACTGTGGCACTGATGTTTGGAGCGTTGGTGCAGGGTCTGTATGCCCCTAGGTTGTCATTCGGACCCCGGGTAGAGGTAGATGGCTTGGCTAAGATGCGGAATAGCTTATATAAGTCTACTTTGAATGAATATATTATGGTAATGGTAGAAGATGACAGGTGAGGAAGTCGGAGCTGAAGGCTGAAGGGAATCAGCATCACCATATACACTCGCTAATACAATTTTGCCCTAATAAGCCCGTCTTTTAGTCTCTTCTAGGGGATGAGATGACGATCACCTCATAATGAGGAATCAATGCCCTGATCTGACGGCGAATAGCATGGTGTTGGGGGAGGTGAAAGAGGAGGTGGTCGCCAGCTTCAATCCCCGATATGGAGGCAGCAGACGATTTTGGGGAAGATGGCGGAACTCGGAAGACTGAGAGTCAGGAATAAACCTTACCTGTGGGTATAAGAATTGTAAGGGAATCCAGGGTTCCTCCACTCAGGCCTTCTCTCGTCCTCTGGTTCCTTACAACACGGTGTCGCCCGGGCTGGTCACGTGATCAATTATGGCGGTGACGTCGTGCCACTCATTAAGTCGGTATTGTAGTCCAGTAGGGAAGCTTGAGGCGTTCTCTACAGATCCCGGAACCAAACCTGCACCACGGACAGAGATAGACGCCCTGGACTGGAATCAGTCGAGCGGGACGTGTCTCATCGATCGCTTCATAGAGACAGGATGAGGCCAGACTTGTTCAGTGGCCACCATTGGCTAATCTGTCCCCTTGCCTGTTTCGCCATTATACAGTGCTAGGGAAAGGTGCTACTGCGCATGCTGGTGCTATAGGAAGCCATGCAGGCTGTCCATACTTGGGTGTTTGTGCGACACGTTCAGGTGATTAGGAATATCGATTGGTGACAATTCCTCGCACAGAACGTAGTGCTTCGAGGACAGCGCAGAGTCTTACAACCGGAGCTGTGGATCTTCACACTTAAAGTAGGAGTTTGAATCCTATTAGAGAAACGTGTTTTGAAGCTTCTCGTCCCTGCCAATTGCCGAAGTTGCCCAATATGTTTAGACGGGTGTCTGATGAATCCCTTCCAAATGCGAACAAATTGGAATACTGTTTCATCACCAGGTGTAGACGATACCGTTGATGGTGTTAGAAGGTATTCGTGAGTGAGTATGCTGTCACGCCGCTTTTAACAATGCTTCAGCAATAATATCAATGTGGAGAATAGAATCCGGGCCTTCGTCCTGACGAGCGAGCGCTTTACCCACTTGGCCACCCCACCGCTTCTAATATTTCTAATTGGACTGGAGTGTACATCAAATGTTAACGTGCTGAGATGATAAGTGCGATGCAGGCAGAGATGATATAAGCGTAATGCATAACGACAACGTTAGAACAGGCGCGAAGCCTTGTCAGCATTGGCACAAGGCTCTGGTTAATGTGAACACTCTGTCAAATTGGACTCACGTTGTTTAAAAAACTATTGTGTCTGCAAAGTTAAAGTTTACACATACATAACTGGACAAATACAGCCCTTAAAACCACAATAGCCTTCGCTTCAACCGGCTTAACTGTGTGGTTTAATGGGGTTATCACCTGTAAAACTTAAACGTCAACGAGCAGCGTGTAGTTCTAATGCAGGTGTAAGATCTCACACACACACTCACTCACTCTCACTCACTCACTTTGGGAGGATGTAACTTCGCATTATGATAATTAGATCCTCATTGATAATATGTCCTGATATTGTTTCGGTTGCTCCAAGTATACTGGACAATGTGTTATCCCATGATGAAAGAATTATCTTTAATGTGACTATATTTGGGCAATGGATGAGTCGGGTTTCAACCCCGCTGTGAACAGTATTTCAGCTTTATGTGGAAAGAAAACCCGAAGTGCTGCGGGCTTCAGACGTTGATGACTTCAATGGAAATCCACGAGCAAGGGTATGGTGCTAACAAACCAAGGAACACAGAGGGATTCGAACCCACAATCATAGCTTATCCTGGCGTGTCCAAGGGACGTAACTCTGTACACCTCAGATGACCGGGTCATCCGTGCCCCCGAGGCCTCGACGATGAAGACAACTAATCACGGTATAGTGATCGTTACTGCCTTGTTCTGAACAGAAGAGGAAATTACTGAGGTTTCTATCAATGTCGGGATCGCGTCTGACCCTTGCCTTCTGTTCACATTAAGGAACATTTTCCAATTGAAGCCCCACTCGCAAGGAATGGTAAACGACTGATCAAACAATATCGATTTATCGCAAGTACCCATGGCTCAATGGCAAACCATCGATGATAAGTGAAAATATGAACATTTTATAGGTTGAGAACCGTCCCCGAACCACAGCATAAGTGAATGAGTATGGTTTTACACCTGTTTTAGCAGTATTCCTGCAATCACGGCGGGGGACACCAGAAATTAGCTTCACACATTGTACCCATGTGGGAAATCGAACCCGGTTCTTCATCGTGACGAGTAGACGCTTTAACCACTAGGCCACCCCACCACCCCTACACAGCATACAGAAGATCCAGAACACAACTAAACATACATCAAATACATCGCCATTCAATAACCGTGTCTTGTTTGGTTCTGTGTTTGCTGACATCAAACATGGCTGTTTATTTATTTTTGCCCGGGGCTTCAAAATTAAACTTTTTGTCCCAATTACAAACCCTTTCCACATCCATGAAAAATATATCTGCTGAAAGCACAGCCGATTGTTTAGTTCCGACAATATGTTTATGAATCACTATCAAAGAGAGATGACACCAGGTGTTCCCGAAAAGGTGAGCATCCGTCATAACAAACGAAAAGGCAAGTCAGTTGTTTAACTGAGAAACCCCTGGAACGTATGGTACAAGTCACAATAAGGAATTGCATGGGACGTTTTTTGGCACTGATGTGTCAAATGTGGAAATGTCCTCCACATGTCTTTTTCAGATCTTTGTTATGGCCTTGAATGGTGGTACCTTGATCAAACAACTTCTGATCAAGAGTCGAATAACGCTCTTTGACATTGTTTTCGTAGACACTTCCCCATGCAGTTTGCAGTTTTCATACAGTTTGCATGCAGTTTACATGCAGGTTGCATGCATTTTGCAGTTTACATACAGTTTGCAGTTTACCTGCAGTTTGCATGCATTTTGCAGTTTGCATACAGTTTGCATGCAGTTTACATGCAGTTTACATGCATTTTGCCGATGGCTGAATCTAGGGCTTGAAAGAAAAAAGTGACGGCGATTGAAGATTTTGTCCAATAGCGTAAGGAAATACACACACGGACGTGTTGACGGTATAGGTATTATTGTAATACTTGGTTCTGCCATCACAAAAAGAAGGAATGCACCTATGTTCGGTTGTGGTGTATTTCTACGGGAAGCATATAGCCGTGGTTTGTACGTGAAGTTTCGGCTACTGTTCAGCCTAATAACGTTTTCATGTGCTTTTGCAGTGCTTTTAGGTCAGGCTGGTAAAAAGTACTAATTGACAAAAGGTACTGCTGGATCATTTACCTGACGGATGTGACTGTTGGATGAAGAAATCTTTATCTTTTCAGTTAAAAACTGAAGATGCACTTACAACTGCCAAATCCCAAATTGCGCATTCCACTTACTAATTGTAATCCTGATGTGAGGAGTATTTGAATTATGGCAGCATGAAAACATACAAAAAAGCATTAAATTTTTTTTAATGAAACGCAATGCAACAAGATAACCATTTGGTTAATGTGAAAAGTTGGATGAAGATATCTACGAAACGTGACGGAAGCACAATTTCACGGACTGACGATCATTTGTAGAATACTCTCTTTTTGCTTCGGCAAATTGACCGAGTCAAGCAAGTTAAGTTTGAGGGAACCCTTCAAACGTTGGGGGAGAAGGAGTGGGTTCTGTGTGCGTGAGAGAGAGGAAGGGGGTCCTGGCAGTGTAATCCTATCTAAAAAAAATGATCGAGAAAGAAATATATTTTGTTTGTTTATTGACTGTTCCTTATCATTTAATACAGCCATCTTTAAGATAGCGTAGCACCTGCACAGAGATCGGTTAGCATCCGATCATGGTTTGAATGACAGGTTACTGTCAGGTGGATGGGAGTTTTCATCTGGTTCTGGAGATGGAAATTGCTGTATTCCCACGAGGCGGAACTGCATCTGTGCAGTTTGTTATGTAGAACGTTTGTTTCTGGAAAACTAATCGGATATATCTTATCTCACTGAGATTCTGGAATGGGACGGACAATGGGTGCCAGAAATGTTTCCTATTTGGTAGTTATTGGTGATTGTTAAAGCTGCTTGTTTTGTGAAGGTCGACGCTAGCTAATCTTGATGGCCTATATAAGAGACCTGTCATATATATTATAGGGGGTGGCGGGGCTGAGTCACTATATAATATGACACTTGGGGAGTGAGTGAGTGGGTTTAGTTTTTCGCCGCACTCAACAATATTCCAGCTATATGGCGACGGTCTGCATATAATTGAGTCTGGACCAGACAATCCAGTGATCAACAGCATGAGCATCGATCTACGGAATTGGGAAGCGATGATATGTGTCAACCAAGTCAGCGAGTCTGACCACCCGATACCGTTAGTCGCCTCTTACGACAAGCATGGGTTACAAAAGATCAATATTTTAACCCGGATCTAACCCGGGTCGACACTTAGGGGGATGTATAGAATTACACATATTTACGGATGGCCATGGTCAAATCGAATATTTATTATACACCATACAGTGCGTTTGCATGTTGTCCATGTACAGTACATATATGAAGTCATATGTATAGCTGGGGTAACCTCTGTGCTGCTCTCTATTTTGAGTGAGTAGGCATTTACTCATATTTCAGCAAATCACGGCGGCGGCCACTGTAAATGGCCATCACACATTGTACCCATGTTGGGAATCGAACCCTGGTGTTCGACGTGATGAGAGAACTGTTTAATCACTTGGCAACCCAACGTCTCAATATTGCTCTTAGCTTACCTAGAACCTCTGGCCTGAGATCTTGATGACATCGCACATATTCAAACGGACTTCGGTTTAAAGGGGTTTACACATTTTAACACTCACATACCACGTTTCCTACAAACTCGTTATTCTACAAAATATTTCCAGTCACCTATTACGGTTCACGCATGTGTTGAATAAGGACGTTATAATCTCAATGTATATCAATGCAGATTCCAGGTATGGCATGAGTGCAGTTTACTCTCTTGATGTCCATTTCAGGAAGAGACAGGTGTTTTTTATCTGTGGCATGAAACACTTGCACCAGCGTACATGTAGATATTTACATTTAATTCACACTGTACACATAGGAGCAATCTAGCCACCTTGGATGATGCAACGTATGTGGTTGGTTAAAAATCGTTAGACTGCAGGTTAAAATTTTGAATATAGAAACAACATTGCAATACAGACTGCTAGTAAATCGTCATATGGTGTTTTATATTTCTAAACTGTATCGAGCTATATCCTGAGTTGCAAGCCAGCCTATACGAGGCCTATCATTTGATACAAACTAGCGCGTGGCAGTGTATCTGCGTATCCGTCTCGTGTCGCTTTTTCACCTTGCAACCATCCTTTGACAAAAGGATCCTCTCCTTGTGCAAAATCGCACCTTTACCTTGAACATCTGGCTATCCCATATCCTTTGGTATAGAACCGCTCTCGACGGTGTCCTTGGAAATATGGTAATATCAAAAGTATCCTTTGGTAAGAATCACTCTTGTGTGTATCATATCAACCTTTACTTTGAAACTGGGTACATGGGACATATCCTTTGATAAACAACAATAATCTT